TGTGACGGTATGTTCTTTTGGTAATTTTTGAAGTTTATAAATACTAAGCAGAGAGGAAAAATGATTAGGACAGGGAGGCATACACCCCAAGCCTCCAGATACAAGACATTCCCTGGAGCAGAGGAGCTCCCTGGACTTGGGGAATTCCACCTCACCCAGTGCTTCTGGCTTATGTGCTGTGAGTCCATCCTGGGAGTCAGTGACCTAGTGGTACATTGTGTCTGCTGTTGAGGACATTGTTTATCGTATCCCTCTGCCCCGGTGTCTCCCCTGTGAGGTCCCCCAGAGAGGTATTCTTATCTATCAGAACCACAGAAATAGTTGGTTTGCATTGGTTTGTATCAACTCTTGCATAGACTCTCCTGAACTCCAAATTATGTAAATGAGTAGCTTCTTTAACAGTGGTTCTCAACCTTCCTAATGCTGTGACCCTTTAATACAGTTCCTCATGTTGTGGTGACCCCCCAACCAGAAAATTATTTTCATTGCTACTTTCAAAACTGTAATTTTGCTACTGTTATGACTCTAATATAAATATTTGTGTTTTCTTCCGGGCAGTGGTGGCGCACGCCTTTAATCCCAGCACTCGTGGGGGCAGCAGAGCCAGGTGGATTTCTGTGAGTTCAAGGCCAGCCTGGGCTACAGAATAAGTTCCAGGAAAGGCACCAAAGCTACCCAGAGAAACCCTGTCTCGAAAAACCAAAAAAAAAAAAAAAAAAAAGTGTTTTCCAATGATCCTAGGTGACCCCTGTGAAAGGATCATTCGACCCCCAAAGGGGTCACAACCCACAGGTAGAGAACTGCTGTCTAGAATGCTTGGACTAAGTCTGTGGCCCTGGGTGGCAAGTTCACAGGGTGATCAGAGTTCACTGTCAGAATTCTCACTCCACGGTGCTGGGTTCCTGCTTTTGACTCATGGCCTCTTGTGGTGTCCCATATATTTCTACAAGTCTCCTGTAATCTATTTAGGAATAAGAGGCTGTGAACCCTTAATGAGAATAGAAGAAAAATCCCTGCCGTGCTTAAGAAAATATCCCCTTTCCTAGGACGCTGAGCATTTAGAATGTGCATCTAAATGGAGGGGAGGGGACTCTTTTCCTCAGGGAGGAGGACTTGGCCGTGGAGGTCAGAGAAACAGAAAATGCCGAGTATCATGAAAAGCATATTTAGAAAAAGAAATGGAGACAGCTTTTTCGAGGAAGGAAAAGAAAGCTCTCTGCAGGTAGGAATTGCTGCTCTGGAAAAGGACCAGAGCTGGGCCCCTAGCACCTACCTCGGGCGGCTCACAACGGGCTACTGTAACTAGAGCTCTAGGGGATCTGGCACACTCTTCCAGCCTCTGCTGACACCCACAGGCACGTGTCACACTCATACACACATACACACTAAAAAAAAAAAATGTGAAAAGCATTCCCAAGAATGAGGATGCACTAGTGAGCCAAGGAATAGGCCAAAAGACAATGCCTTTTGTGTCATGGCCTTCCTTCCTCCTTTGCCCATGTCCTCTCCGTGGAATCTCCCATCTGTCCCTCACTGCATGGCTTCAGGGTCTCTGGAGAGGCGTGCCTCTGCTGGGCGTGGGTGAGAATGTGTGCTTTGGTGATACTCCTTTTGGCTTAAGCTTCACTGGGCCATCTATCACATCGTAACTGGGTCCGGGTTCCTCCCAACCCCTCTGACATGGGAGGGGGCTGTCTGAGCAGGTATCTGGATATCAGAGAGGCCCAAGAAGTGTCAACCATTTAGCCTTACTTTAGGGGTAAGAGAGCCAAGGCTGTCTTGACTCTAGGGCAGTCAAAAACCATGTGCAGACAGCAGAGGCTGACTTGCAGAACGCTGGTTGAGCAGTTGCCATGTGGCCTCTGGCTCTGTCCTCAGGTGCTGCCCAGGTGGATTCTGGATCCTCAGAAGGATTTTTCTAGTAATCTCTGCAGGATCCTACCTGTGGGTGGGCATCTGTGTGGGGTAACGTGTGTGTGCACCTGGGAATGTCAGTCTTTCCAAAATGGCTGCCTCGTCTCCTCCTAGTGCTTTTGACTTAGGATTCAAGAGACTGTAACAAATATCCTGGTCAGGCTAGGTTATGACTTTGGGTTTTGTTTTTTGTTTAAAGAGTTTTTTTTTTTAATTTTAATTTTTTTTTTTTTTTTTGGTTTTTCGAGACAGGGTTTCTCTGTGTAGCTTTGCGCCTTTCCTGGAACTCACTTGGTAGTCCAGGCTGGCCTCGAACTCACAGAGATCCGCCTGGCTCTGCCTCCCGAGTGCTAGGATTAAAGGCGTGAGCCACCACCGCCCGGCGAGAGTTTTTTTTAATGTATTTTTTATTATTTTAATTGTATGTAGGATGCACGCGCACACACGTGCGTGCGTGCGTGCGCGCGTGCGCGCACACACACACACACACACACACACACACACACACACACACACACACACACACGTATCTGTGGAGGCCAGAAGAGGGCGCTGGATCTCCTGAAGATGGAGTGAAAGCAGTTGTGAGCCACTCAATGTGGGTGCTGGGAACTGAACTTGGGTCCTCTGTAAGAGCAGTATGTACTCTTAAGCACTGAGCCATCTCTCCAGTCCAGGCTTAAAATATAACACACACACACACACACACACACACACACACACACACACACACACACACATATATCCAAACACATTGTATTAGAAAAGGCTAGTGGGCCAGAGGAATGGCATGGTGGAAGCTGGCCGACACTGTAGGTGTCATCCAGGCTGGGTGACTAGGGTAGCAGGGCCTGTGGCAGACAACTCATACAGGCCACGTCTTCCGCTCTCACACTTCTCTAAGGGTAGGAAAAGGGAAAGGTGGCTGAGAAGGCAGCACACGCTACATGGTGAAATGGCTGTGTACAAGCATGAGGACCTGAATCCAGAGTCCCGGGACCCAGCTCTCCTCTCCCCCTCTCCCCAGCACCCCCCCCCCTTTCGTGCCCATTCCTTTTTAGTTTGGTTTCTGTGAGCCACCAAGTCCAGTTAGTGCTGGAGTGTGGATGACCTGGTTGGCTGGATCTTCGGCAGGTAACCACAGCAGCTGTGTGGTCTTGAGTGCCATGACCTTGAGGTCATGAGGTCATGTCCAGAAGATGGCATTTCACAGCCCCCCTCCCCATTCTCCGGCTTTTATGTTCTTTCTGTTCTCTCTTCTGTGATGGTCCCTGAGCTCTGTGTGTGTGTGTGTGTGTGTGTGTGTGTGTGTGTGTGTGTGTGTGAGAGAGAGAGAGAGAGAGAGAGAGAGGGAGAGGGAGGGAGGGAGGGAGGGAGGGAGGGAGGGAGGGAGAGGGAGAGGGAGAGGGAGGGAGAGGACATAGATGCTCCACTTAGGCCTGAGCACTCAGTAGACACTTATTTTCAGCCCTTTGACCAGCTGAGTCTCTTCATTAACTGCTTCCCACTGCGGAAAGAAGCCTCTCAGGCTAAGGTTGAGAGCAGCTCTAATCCATGTGTGTAAGTATAAATACTTAAAAGGCAGTTAACAACATGTAGATAGGCCTCCCAAGCTATGGGCTTTTTACAGCCTTGTAAAAAAGATTTACAGTGCCAGGTATGAATTCCCTCCCGTGTGCCAGGCCTAAAATCCAACCAGGAAGTGATTGGCTATCCCGTAACCTCTACCTGATATGTGGGTATCATAGCCTTTAGGGTTCACTACTGGACAAAATTGACACCCCCCTCCACATGGCATGTATAGCACCTGCTGGCACCTTAAAAGCTAGCCTTCAGAGACGTTTTCAGGTGAGTTCCAGCTTGATTTCTCTTACGACAAAGTCGTCAAAGATAGGGTATCCCCCCCCCCCCCCCCCCGGTTTTTCAAGACAGGGTTTCTCTGTGTAGCTTTGCACTTTTCCTGGCACTCACTCTGTAGCCCAGGCTGGCCTCAAACTTACAGAGATCTGCCTGGCTCTGCCTCCCGAGTGCTGGGATTAAAGGCGTGTGCCACCACCGCCTGGCCAGAGATAGGGTCTTAACAATCTGGCTCTGGTGGGCAACCAAGAGCAATGGCAATAGCGTGTGCTGTTTTCAGGGACCTGTGGGACTTGTAGGGAGGTATCTCATGCCTGATACTAAGACACTCACTGAATAACCTGTATAGTTTGAGGGAAGTATTGTTCAGTGTGCAGGGTACCTGTGTTCAAACTCCGTTTAAAAAAATCCTCTTTTAAGTTTTCTTTTCTTTTTTATTTATGTCTATGTATGAGCACTATGTGCATGTCTGGTGCCTGTGGAGGCCAAGAGAGTGCTGGATCTCCTTGGAACTGGAGTTAGTCAGATGTAGGCCACCATGTGGGTGCTGGGAACCAAACCTGGGTCCTCTGAAAGAGCAGCAAGTGCTCTTAACCACGGAGCCATCTTTCGAGCGCTCGTATTTTAGTTTGCTGTGGTGGTTTGAATGAGAAATGGTCCCCATAGGCTCGTGTATTCGAACGCTTGGCGCACAGTTGATGATGGGGAGCGGGTAATGGAACTTTCAGGGTGTAGATCCTTGCTGGAGGAAGTGTCTCACTCACCAGGGGCAGGCTTTGAGAGATTGTGTGAGGCTGAGTGTGTCCATTACCCCACAGTGACCCTGACTGATTCAGGAGTTTCATTCTCTTCTGCTCTAATCTAAGAGGCAGCCTGGAGGTCCAACTAGGAAGATCTCATGCAGAGGACCAACGAGACAGAAGTGGCTCAGGCCCACCCTGGACCCCTAGGCAGGGTGCAGCTGCTTCTGGAATGTTCCATGACAAAGGGGGCTGCAGAGATGGCTCAGTGGTTACGAGCACTGGCTGCTCTTCCAGAGGACCCGGGTTCAACTCCCAGCACCCATATGGCAGCTCACAACTGTCTGTAACTCCTGTTCCAGGGGGGTCTGACACCCTCACACAGACATATGCAGGCAAAAGATCAATGCACATGAAATAAAATTATTAAAAAAAAATCTAGAAAATGCTCCCACTTTCTGTTTCCTCTGAGGTGGATTCCCAGCCTCTCTGGATAGGGACCCACAAAGGACCAGGTGAGGTACAGAGAACCCTGAAGCCCAAAGCAGAGGTGAGGATGAGATGTAGGCAGCATTTACAGTGGATATAGGTCAGCCTCTTCCAGGCCACAGAATATTGACCCACCTCAGCACCCAGCCTTGCATATCCAGGTTCTCTGACCCCAATCTTTTATCCTCTGAAGAACACAATCAGCTTTGGGATCATGAAAGGTTTAGGTGGGGATGGAGAGGCCCCTAATCCTGGACTTCATCTTTGGGAGGCTTAGGATCATTCCAAGTCCCACTATGTCTTTAAAGGAAGGTACTGTGGGGAGGGGCAACAGCAGAATAATAATCTGTAAGAGGGACTGGAGGTGGTGGTGAGGGCGTCCCAAACACAAGATGTCAGGAGAAGACGAGTTCTACCTGTTTCAGAATATCTCCTCGGTGGGGCCCTGGGACGGGCCCCAGTACCACATTGCTCCTGTCTGGGCCTTCCGCCTCCAGGCAGCCTTCATGGGACTTGTCTTCTTTGCAGGGACCCCGCTCAATGCCACAGTGCTGGTGGCCACACTGCTTTACAGAAAGTTGCGGCAGCCCCTCAACTACATTCTGGTCAATGTGTCCCTCGGGGGCTTCCTCTTCTGCATCTTCTCCGTTTCCACTGTCTTCATCGCCAGCTGTCACGGCTACTTCCTCTTTGGCCGCCATGTTTGTGCTCTGGAGGCCTTCTTGGGCTCTGTAGCAGGTACCACAGGCAACCGGGGCTAGGAAGAGGCAAAGGATGCTGCTCCAGGATTGGAACCTGGAGCCAGACTTTTGGTTTGGAGCAGGCCCTTAATTACCCTGAGTAGTTTGACCAGAATAGGATGTGTGAGCATTCGACTCTATTCTAATTCTCTGAACTTGCGCAATTCCATTTGCATTCCGCTCCAGGCTGGGTGAGGCTACCTACCCTATTTGTTTCACATTTGCCACAGGTCTAGTGACAGGATGGTCGTTGGCTTTCCTGGCTTTTGAGCGCTACATTGTCATCTGTAAGCCCTTTGGCAACGTCCGCTTCAACTCCAAGCATGCATTGATGGTGGTCCTGATCACTTGGACCATTGGTATCGGCGTGTCCATCCCACCCTTCCTTGGCTGGAGCAGGTGAGAGTGTAGGGCGGTGGTCTGATGTGGGAAGAGACTGGGTATAAGCTTTCATTCTTGGATATGCATTGGTAGAGTAAGGTAGGGAAAAGGGGCAGCTGGAGACATCGGAGTTTACTATGCAGCTGGAATGGCTGTATTCTTTCGGCATTCTTCCAACTGGAGAAGCTAACCCAGGAATCCCTGCTCCTACCCTGCTAGTTCTCAAGGAGAGTCCAGAGTGAATGTTGGATCCTTTTCAGGTTCATCCCTGAAGGCCTGCAGTGCTCCTGCGGCCCGGACTGGTACACGGTGGGCACCAAGTATCGAAGCGAGTACTACACCTGGTTCCTCTTCCTGTTCTGTTTCATCGTGCCTCTTTCCCTCATCTGCTTCTCCTACTCCCAGTTGCTGAGGACTCTCAGAGCTGTGAGTGGCTTTTGAGAGGGTCAGGTAGGAGTAAATCAGGAGGCTCCAGGACAGACAGCGTGTGTGTCTGCCCCAGGACATGTCTGGAATATCCACAGTCAGATAGAAGGAATATCAGGAGCTAGCGAGAGTGGGTAAGGGGGAGTGAAAAATTGTGGAGTTACAACTCAGCGGTACAGCACTTGCGTAGCAGGTGTGCGGGACTGGTCCCCAGCACAAGAGGAAGTGAGGGAAGGAGTAAAAGACCCAAGAAAGAGGGAGTGAGGCTGTGATCTTTCTGAATGTCAGAGCTGAGATTCATCTCCATGATGCCTCCCTCAAGGGAAAGCCAAACTCAGCCAGAAGAGCCAGTGAGAGGGTTATGACCCTTGTGCTCATTTCCAGGTGGCAGCTCAGCAGCAAGAGTCAGTGACGACCCAGAAGGCTGAACGGGAGGTGAGCCACATGGTGGTGGTGATGGTGGGATCCTTTTGCCTCTGCTACGTGCCCTATGCTGCCCTGGCCATGTACATGGTCAACAATCGTAACCACGGGCTGGACTTACGGCTCGTCACCATCCCTGCCTTCTTCTCGAAGAGCTCATGTGTCTACAATCCCATCATCTACTGCTTCATGAATAAGCAGGTAAAACTCTATCTACATTCCCATGAGGTCCTGGGCCATTAGACCCTGGTTCTTTCCCTATTGACCATGTTTTAACTCAGCACGGTGGACGCTACACAGGCCTTATAGATGAGGAAAACTACAGGAAGTCCAAACAAGCCAGGAAACTCTTGGTAGGCACATGTATGAAGAGGGTGGTTCCTAAAATACTAAAGAGAGGATAGACTTCGAGCTAGAAAAATTGAGTAGTCAATGCTAAGGATTGAACACCGGACCTTTTACATGCTAGGCAAATACTTTTATTACTGAGTTATATATCCCTACCCTTAAGTTTTCTGTTTTGGTGAAAAAGTAATAACATCAGTAATAACAGACTTCTAGCTTTTTGTAATTTTTTCCCCCTCTTTTTAAGATAGGGTCAAACTGTGTAGCCCTAGCTGTCCTGGAACTTCTATGGAAACTAGGCTGGCCTTGAACTCAGAGATCAGCCTGCCTGTCCCCAAGTGCCGTGTATGTCCAGCCTTCTGCAAATTCTTAATCTGGCCCTCCTAAAGTCTAGCCTGCAAGAGCAAGTAGTTAAAAGTGGAGTTTACGTAGTTTTTAGGACAAGGATGACATACACCTTTCCTTCTAGTTCCGGGCTTGCATCCTGGAGATGGTGTGCAGGAAGTCCATGACAGACGAATCCGACATGCCTGGCTCTCAGAAAACAGAAGTTTCTACTGTCTCTTCCAGCAAAGTTGGCCCTCACTAAGGACCGCCAATTGGCCTGCTGGCGGCAAGCAGAGCACCATTTAGTTTCTACATTCTCCATTTAAACCCTAACGCAGGGAAAAGATGGGAAGGGGAGCGGTAGCACTCCTGGCAGGCAGTTCATTTCCTATTGCTGACTTCCTGTCAGCAAGGTTGCTGTTCCCATGCGGGCCATTTCAACAGTCACAGTTTCTACTCCTAAGTGGCCCTTCACTCCTGGAGAACTGTAGGAGAAAGGGCTGTTTCTGGTGTATGGGTAACACTTTCCTTTTCAGTCATTTTTCTTCTTCCTTGCTGGACCCGAGATATGTCTTGTGTTAGAGTAAGCGATGGGGCAGTGGGAAAAAAGGCAGCGACCACCAAGCACCTACAGGGAATTTAAAGGAACTTACCTGTGTGGTGTCTCCCAGCTGCTGCAGCCTAGGCTGTGGCGGCCATGGTTGGAGCTGCCTCAGCTCCCTCATCTCAAACAGAATTATTCTAGGCGTTCTCCTCCACTTGGCTAAATGAATGTATTCACTTAGAGCTGTGCATTGATTAAAGTTAGAACTTTAATCCTGTGACGTCCTCAAAATGAGTTTGCATGTCTCAGTACCATTTATAAATCAAACCCAAGTGCTAAAAACATTTTACCTTACCCTCTTCCTACACCTGCTGCTCTTGGAAAAATGAGCTCCTTTGAAATGAAAACCAAGATAAATGTGTGTTCAATTCTACTCAAGGAATGCTGGGTGCCATTATCAGGTAATGATGCACTGGAAGGCAGGAGGGTCATAGCAGTGAGAAGCAACCAGAAACCTCAGGAATAGGAAAGGACTAAGTGTGAGGGAGACGTCAGTGTTCTCTCTCAGCCTGGTGGGGAGATATGGTGGACCTTCTGGGAGAATTCCTTTTCTTTGACATTTTACAACAGAATTCTAAGCCATAATCCCATTTCTTCCTTCCTTCCTTCTTTCTCTTTAAGAAATGATTTATTTTTATTTGATGTGCATTGGTGTTTTGCTTGCAATGTATGTCTAGGTGAGGGTGTCACATATCCTGGAATTGGAGCTACAGACAGTTGTGAGCTGCCATGTAGGTGCTGGGAATTGAACCCGGGTTCTCTGGAAGAGCAGTCAGTGCTTTTAACTGCTGAGCTGTCTTGCCAGCCATTTCTTGGTTTCTTGAGACAGGGTCTTGCTATGTAGCCTTGGCTGTCCTGGAACACAATCCCATTTCCAAGAGAATGAAAGACACATAAGACCCTGATGAATGTAAACAGTTTTATTCAGAAACAGATAGGTACCTGTTTGCATTACAGAATATAAAACTTGGTTTACACTCTATAAAAAAGAACCAATACTCAAATTCAAGAGAGTTTAGCATTCACAGAGCACACCCTATGGACATGCAGCCACTGCTCATTGCCTCAGATTTGATTTAAACCAGAAACCCAAACCCCAACACTATGTGGGGCTCATGGAGATGAGAGCAGTTCTTGCTGCTGAGCACCCCATGTCCAGAATATGTCATCGTAACACACTACACTTGCTGGTTAAGTGTGTGACTTTCACATCAGTGTTAGGCTCTGTGCACCGAACGAGCTGTAAGGCCCTCTTGCCACACAGTGTATGATGCACCCTTTCTAAGCCAGGGCTGGTGGCATTAATTATCTCTGGTCTCCTTAACAATAAAGAGTTGAGGATCTGGAAGGCAGAGAATGTTCATTACTCCTATCCTGGGATTAAAACATCGAGTGTATCTGCTATCAAGAGCTTGATGCAATGGCTGGGGTGAAGTTATACCACACCTGGCTCTTCACCACACCAAGCAGCCTACCTCAACAGGATTGTGGAAGACCAAAGGGTAGGTCTAGGTTCAGATATGACCACCACCCAGCACCACCTGAATGTATTATTCAGCTATAGGAAATAATAAAGATTACACATATATATCTATATATTTATCTTAGTAACCTGAGGGTTAAAAATTTAGAATACAATAATTCTTCTGAAGAGGCCCATTAGTAAGAGACCAAAATATTGGGTTGCACAAAATATGGGTAAATGGAGTTGGCAACCGATGGGGTTTTTGATAAGGACGGCAACCTGATGGTCCATGACCTTCCTACCTACCCCACCTTTTAGTGTCAGAGAGAAAGGGAGATGGCAAAATGGGATGTGATGGTTAAAGACAGGAAGGGTGAGCAGTGGTCCTCAAACCAAGGAGCCCCCTCTGTATGTCCTTCCATCCTTGAGTCAGAGCTCAAGCTCTGGTAAGCAGAGGCCTGACAGAGAGTGGTTTGTGTTCTGAGGTATGAGGATCCCTGGTCAAGTCAGCAGCATGAGGGTTTTAGAAACCAGCCCACAAGACAGGAACGCTGCAACCAAGCTTGTAACTAATACTGCTGTTTAACCGTTGTCCACAAGAGAAAAAGAAGGAAAAACCCCCACTGTATCAGGAGGTTCAATGTGTTCATGTAAGGTGCCCAAGTCATTCATCTTGTGGCTTTTTAAGCAAATTCCCATTCAGTAATTATTTTTCCCGTTAAAGGCACTTTCAATGACATGATTGGAAAAAAGTCAATTGTAATTGCAGTAAAACCAAGATTGATTCCTAGGAAGGGGCTGGATGGGGCCTTACAGTGACTTCAATAGGTACACAATCAGAATAAAATGCATGCCCTGCACACACTTTTTTCCTTTCGTTTTCCAGCTGTTTCTAGTTGGAAACAGCTCTATAAAGAGCTAGAAATAGCCCTGTGAAGAGATCATACACACTACTTGATTCATTTTTCAAGACACTGGCCCCAATTCTTCCCACCACAGCTGTGCTTGACAGAATTAGCAAACAGCTAGTCCTAGAGGGGGAAAAGAATGAAGTCAAGTTGTGTCAAGCTGCTCTACAGCACAGGGATCCAGCCTTGCCCAGACGGCGGCAGGCTCAGTGGTTGGCCTGTGACAACTGAACGGCCACTTATAAAATGAAGCTTTTCAACAGGCAAGATAAAGCATTCTCTCTCTAAACATAAATGACGGAGTACAGGTTTTTCCTTTTTTTCTCTCCTGAACATTTCTATTGATCTCAGGCTTTAAAAAAAATTAGTTAAGTGAGAATTACAAAAAAAATGTGTGGTAAGGGGTGAGAAAGAGTAAAGGCTAATAATTGCCTACAAGTGTGGGTCGAGGATCTTGATCCTTCATGTTATACTCCCAACTAGAGAACAATACAAAAATAAACACACCATGTTATACATTATACAAAGTGTAAACCTACAAACACAAGTGTACTAATCAGAGTTGTTTCTCAGAAGCACGGGTCCCCTCCAGTCCCTCAGAGGGGAGGAGTAATGGGGACGGGATGGTTTTCATTATCTCAATATGCCTTTTCATGTCTTAAAAAGTTTGTAACAACAGTCTCAGTAGCGCAAACAATTTCATGTGAAACCAGAGCTGTAAAAATAAATTACTTTTGAAGAAATGTAGGTTCCTCTGTCTGCAGCTTAGAACTCATCATGTCGCACTAAGGCCTCCCCAAAATCTGTGGCCTGGCTGCCCACAAATAAATCATACTTGTCGACAATCTCCTCCTTGGTAAGCTTGCCATCCTGAAATCACAGGGAACAGTGAATTGAGGTCATATATACTTGCCATCCAAATTCAGAAAGACTGCTATAAAATAAGAATAACTTGAGACTGTGATAACTTAAGATTCTAGTTCCCTCTACATGCAAACTCAAGTGTTACCCCATCCCTCCTTTGCATGCACGCACGCATACGCACACACACATAGCGCACGCGCGTGCGCACACACCACACACACACACACACACACACACACACACACACGCCAGCATCTTTTTCACCAAGAAAGTCACTAGTGAGCCGGGGATATAGTTTAGTGGTAAAGTGCTTGCCTCGCATGACTGAGGCCCTAGGTTTGACTCCTGTAATCAGAAAGCCAGACAGAAGAGTTGTTCAAGGCTAGCCTGGGCTACAGAGGGAGATGCTATCTCAAAGGAAAAAAAAGTCTCAAAAGTGAAAAGATGGGCCAAATATACTCAACAACTTCAGGACAGAGACACAAATCTGTTCCCTAGGCAGCAAACGCTCCTTTTGGAGTCAGAACTACAGGGCAGCTGCTAGATATGGGTGGAAGATGGCCAGGAACATTGTGTTGATACTCTAGGGCGCATTCTGAGGCCTAACAGTGAACTCTCCAGGGCCAATCTTTCTATCACCCCAACTCTAACAACATGAGTCATATTCAAAACAGGCTGTCACTCATCTCAAACAGCACCACGACTCCTCAAAGAGGACTGCTCACATTTCTCACAACTCAGGACATGACAGCTGGCTGTTGAAGTAATGCTGAGCAAGAACTTAAAACTTATCAAGCCTGCCGGGCGGTGGTGGCGCACGCCTTTAATCCCAGCACTCGGGAGGCAGAGCCAGGCGGATCTCTGTGAGTTCGAGGCCAGCCTGGACTACCAAGTGAGTTCCAGGAAAGGCGCAAAGCTACACAGAGAAACCCTGTCTCGAAAAAACCAAAAAAAAAAAAAAAAAAAAAAAAAAAAAACTTATCAAGCCTTAGTAAGGGTCTAAGAAACAGCATTTGAAGCCTAAAGAATGTTTAAAACAATTAAAAAAAAAAAAAAAAAAAAAAGCTGGTCTTTAATATCCAGGTCTCTGAAAAGGTGACAGGGCTTAGTGAAAATTTGATTTCACCTAAAATTTCACCTAAGCACCTCAGACAATTTTTGAATTTTAACAGGGTCCAGAGAAAATCTGGCTTATAACCACATGTAAAGGGCTTAAATTTTAAGAATATATTTGATTTTGGGAGTGGCAGTATACACCTTTAATCTCAGCACTGGAGAGAGAGGTAAGTGTGTCTCTGTGAGCTAGAGGCCAAGCTGGTTTACATTGTAGTCTCAGGCCAGTCAGCAAGAGCTATGCATTTAGAGTCTCAGCCAGTCAGTCAGCTGCCTGTCTGCCTCTCTTCCTCTAAAGAATTATATATATATATATATATATATATATATATATATATATATATATATATATACATATATATATATATACACACGTATGTGTGTATTTGATTTAGGATGGCAATGGCAATAACTGGCTTGGACAATAGGTAACAGAACACAGGAAATAACAGCCAAGAATTTAAAAAGACAATTTCCTGGGGATTCAACAGGTAGAGTTGATGCATGCTGGGTCAGGCTTTAAACCAACACTCTGCTGAAGCCCAGGTTTCTCCAACACTATGAGCACAGAGCAAACACTTCGCAAAATGAGATCAGATAGGTAGTGCTGTTCTGAAGATTTCTGGTCATTAAATTTAAGTCCTTGGCAGACTTAAGGTAATTAAGACCCTAAAAATACTCGGTGTCTTTTGGTGACATCTGTTTAAGGCAACTTCCTAGGAAGACTTTGGTCGTGGCTAAACTGCTTGGGCCTGGAATCACTTACCTTGTTTTGGTCTGACTCATAGACTAGATGCCTGGCTTCTGCCTCTGCATGGTCATAGTCTGAAGGGAGGATCCAGTCCTTGGTCTCCTCCTTGTCCATCTTCCCGTCCCGGTTCTTATCTCGGAACTCAAGAAACTGTTCTCGCTCTGTCTTCACCCATTCTGGCTCATCAGCATTTCCATCATGACTGTACATGTCACCTGTGTGCACAGACAGATACAACAGAATTAGTCTTGTTCCAAAGGCTCCTCATGCTAATCTGGCTTAACCCTTCTGGTACCCATACACAGTCACATAGTTTTCTTAGGCCAGACAGACTTCAGAAAGTAAGGTAGTTTTCCTGTGGCTTAACTGCTATCTTTCACAAGAATATTTCCAGATGCTGACCAAGTGATAGCAGAGCAGGGTCTGTATCTTTAAAGCAAAGTAGAAGCCCAGCGGTGGTGGCGCACACCTTTAATCCCAGCACTCATGAGGTAAAGGCAGGTGGATCTCTGTGAGTTCGAGACCAGCTTGGCCTATAGTGAGTTTCAAGACAGCCAGAGCTACACAAAGAAGCCCTGTCTTGGAGGGGTTGGGGGTGGGGGTAGGGGCCAGGAGAAAAGAAAAGGCAGAAATAAGGAGGTGAAGCTGAGCATGGTGGTGTGTAAGCCCAGCACTTTGGGAAGC